AGAGGAGAGTTTCAGAGGAACAGATGAACTGGTCAGTGTTTGTGGATTTTCATCGATAAAATTCATGAAATCCAAGAATGTGAAAAACATTTGCTTGTGTTATTGATCGTGACACACAAAGGAAGTCCTAATGAATGAAGTATGAAACCCAGTAATAATTATTTGTGTAATAATGTTTTTAATTAGATCTAGATGAAGTTGTTGATTTGCATGATGATTGATCCCGTCTCTGATTACAAATAACAGGATGTCTTTATGTCCATCCGTACTGATCATCTGTTCACCATCCACAGAACTGCAAAACGGCCACATGCTCCTCAATTCAATGCGTCCTGAAGGACCTGGTGGAGAAGAATGATTATTATGTGAATGTAACGACAAACATATGGAAAGGTACCTTTACAATGGTAAATAAACTCATCTCAGTGCTTTTTTTGTATCAATCTGGGCTAATGTTGGGGTTAACAGTGTTTGTTTGTTCATTCAAGGCTGATTTTCTGTACACTGTGCTCTCTGTGAGAGCTGATATAGAGACGTCTCAACCGGAGCTGCTGTTCATCAAACAGAAGCACCTGCAGGTAGAGTCGAAACACAGCAGGATCATTTGAAAGTGTTTTTTTTTTGCCTCAAATATTTGACATTATCCTATACAATTTTTTTTTTAATTAATAATAAAAAAAATATATATATATATATATATATATATATATACATACATACACACACATAGTACATATATATTTTTTAGATATATTTTAAAATATAAAAAAATGGCCAAATTTTTAAAAAATGTTTCAAAATATACTTACATAAATATATTGTATGCCAATGTATTTTTAAAAGTATATTTTAAAACACACACACACAATATTTCAAAATATGTTTTCCTTTCTTCATCAAACAGAAGCACCTGCAGGTAGAGTCGAAACACAGCAGGATCATTTGAAAGTGTTTTTTTTTTGCCTCAAATATTTGACATTATCCTATACAATTTTTTTTTTTATTAATAAAAAAAAAATATATATATATATACATACATACACACACATAGTACATATATATTTTTTAAATATATTTTAAAATATAAAAAAATGGCAACATTTTTTAAAAATGTTTCAAAATATACTTACATAAATATATTGTATGCCAATGTATTTTTAAAAGTATATTTTAAAACACACACACACAATATTTCAAAATATGTTTTCCTTTCCATTTATTTAAATCCAAGAAAATGCATTCATGTCATATTTGAAGAAAAACTTTATTTTTGTTGGCCAAATTTTTTTAAAATGTTTTAAAATGTATTTACATATATTTTATGCCAATGCATTTTTTAAAATATATTTTGACACACACACACACACACAATATTTCAAAATATTTTTTAATTACCATATATTTCAATCCAAGAAAATGCATTTGTCATATTTGAAGAAAAATTTTATTTTTGTTGGCCAAATTTGACAAAAATGTTTCGAAATGTATTTACATAAATATATTTTATGCCAATGTATTTTTGAAAATATATTTTAAAACTATATATATAATATTTCAAAATATTTTTTTCTTTCCATGTATTTCAATCCAAGAAAGTATTTTTAAAAGTATATTTTAAAACACACACACACAATATTTCAAAATATGTTTTCCTTTCCATTTATTTAAATCCAAGAAAATGCATTCATGTCATATTTGAAGAAAAACTTTATTTTTGTTGGCCAAATTTTTTAAAAATGTTTTAAAATGTATTTACATATATTTTATGCCAATGCATTTTTTAAAATATATTTTGACACACACACACACACACAATATTTCAAAATATTTTTTAATTACCATATATTTCAATCCAAGAAAATGCATTTGTCATATTTGAAGAAAAATTTTATTTTTGTTGGCCAAATTTGACAAAAATGTTTCGAAATGTATTTACATAAATATATTTTATGCCAATGTATTTTTGAAAATATATTTTAAAACTATATATATAATATTTCAAAATATTTTTTTCTTTCCATGTATTTCAATCCAAGAAATTGCATTCATGTCACATTTGAAGAAAAACTTTATTTTTGTCTGTAACACGTGAACAAAACATATTTGAATAAAAATCCGCAAGGAATATGCATTACAATATTCCAAATAAAAATAATTAAAATTACAAAATAAAAATGAAATCCAGCTTATTTTTCAATGTGGAAGTAAGCTGTTTTGTACAGCTAAGAATAGCTGTAAGCGGATGACACCGGAAGCCAGACACATTCAATTTACAAATGGCCGCGCTCGCTCTTACGGGAAAAATAAGATGAATATAATAAATTAAATATAATTAAATCATTATAAATCTAGTTTTGATCTCTAGTAGGCTATTCTATCTACATTTGCATTTAGACTAAATGCAAGCTATACTGTAAGAGTGGAAATGTATTTTCTTGCACTGAAATACATTTTGAAATATATTTTGGTATATGAACATTAAAATTACATATATTTTCAATTTCAAAAATATATTTCATTGAGCTTCACCGTTTACAGCATATATTTTGTGTACATTTAAAATGTTTTGGCTAGAAAAAATATATTTTTTGCTGTATGGGATCAGCGGTCATTATGTATGTAGGCTAAATTTACGAGTGGACACTTCATTGCAGGTTGAAGTCCAAGTGAGCGTAATTGGCGGTCTGTTGTTATTGGCTCTTGCCGTCGCATTGCTTTGGAAGGTACTTTATTTTGCTGTTTTAATATTTATTCTGTCTATATCTTATTGTCTTCCTTAAAAAAATTATTTATGTTCAGCTTGGATTCTTCAAGAGGAAGTATCAACCAATGATGAACGTGGATGAGAATGGAGCAGAAGATCAGGAACTGCAGGAAAACAGCGAGACACCTTAAGAAATCCCTAAGAGTCTCATTTGGCAATGTCATTGCTTCCTTCTCGGACACAAATAGCCAGAAAAAGGCTAGAAAGAGCAAACTGGGTTCTCAAGAATTGCCTGTTTGATTTCAGTGAAACATTGGCATTCGAAACCCATTCATCTCTCATGTTTTATTTCCCTGCTTTGACTTGAATGCTGGTGTATCTTTTTGGCACATGCAGTCTTATTACCACATCCATTCATTCAGGTAGTTAGTATTCCACTAGGTCTTTTTGACTATTGTGACTCAGGACCAAAGTGTACTTTTCTTTACATGTAGCTTTTCAAAGTATCCTCCATTTGATAGTCTGTGCAAACACAGGCACTCGACACATGTGCACCAGAAAGAGTCATCCTTGGCCAGTGTCTGCGCTATTTCTCCTCTAAAGTTCTGAGTGATAAAATGTCTTTGTAATCGCTTAAACTAAAGTTGAGGCTCTCTCTAATCTCCCCACACAAGCTCTTGTCAATGCGGGCATCTGTTGTTGTTGCTGTCTTCATTAGTTTGTTGTACTGTCTCCTCTGTTCCTTTCCCTACTGTGAAACAGTCTAGTTAGTTAAAAAAAATTCAAAGAGCATGTTCATGAGTTGTACTAGGTGCGTTTGGTTTCAGGTTTTTCAGAGTCGACTCCAATTCCCAATGGAATCAACTCAACGCCATTTACTTAGCAATAAAAATAGTTACAAGATTGCAGTAGTTATATCACACACACAAAATGTAGGCTATTCTTTTTCTTTTTTTGGTGACACAAAAACCTAAAAGCCCAGTGTCTGCGCTATTTCTCCTCTAAAGTTCTGAGTGATAAAATGTCTTTGTAATCGCTTAAACTAAAGTTGAGGCTCTCTCTAAACTCCCCACACAAGCTCTTGTCAATGCGGGCATCTGTTGTTGTTGCTGTCTTCATTAGTTTGTTGTACTGTCTCCTCTGTTCCTTTCCCTACTGTGAAACAGTCTAGTTAGTTAAAAAAAATTCAAAGCGCATGTTCATGAGTTGTACTAGGTGCGTTTGGTTTCAGGTTTTTCAGAGTCGACTCCAATTCCCAATGGAATCAACTCAACGCCATTTACTTAGCCATAAAAATAGTTACAAGATTGCAGTAGTTATATCACACACACAAAATGTAGGCTATTCTTTTTCTTTTTTTGGTGACACAAAAACCTAAAAGGGTTAGTTCACCCAAAAATTAGGCTGTTTTACTCACCCCCGAGGCATCCTAGCTGTATATGACTTTCTTCTTTCAGACGAATCCAGTCAGTTAGATTAAAAATTGTCCTGGCTATTCCAAGCTCTTATCATTGCAGTCAGCGGGTGTTGCAGTGCTTCAGTCCAAAAGAAGTTAAATAAAAAGCGCCAATCCATAAAATAAAAGTGTCTCACACGGCTCCGGGGGGTGAACAAAGGCCTCCTGTTGCGAATCGATGCGTTTTTGTAAGAAAAAAAAAACCTAATTCAAAACGTAATAATCACTTTAATCTAGCTTGCGCCAACAGTAGGACGTTGGCGTTGCGCATGCACTGCTCAGAAGTGACGAACGCGGAAGCGCAGGGGAGAGATCAAAACAAAAAACGGTCACTAATTAGAACGAGGATTTGTAAAGAAGAATGTCAGAGGATTTCGATATAAGCCAAGAGGAAACTGGTTTTCCTTTGAGGAAACTTTGCTTCCTTTGCTCCTGTTAACAAACGTTGGTTTTCATGAGACTCACCGGCGCATGCGCAACGCTGACCTCATACGTCATCAGCCCGGAGCTGCTTCCGTGTAGGACTGTTGGCGCAAGCTACATTAAAGTGATTATTACATTTTGAATATGGATATTTTTCTTACAAAAACGCATCGATTCGCTACAGGAGGCCTTCGTTCACCCCCACCCCCACCCCCACCCCGGAGCCGTGTGAAACAATTTTTTTATGGATGGGCGCTTTTTATTTCATTTCTTTTGGACTGAAGCACTTGCAACACCCGCTGACTGCAATGACAGAGCTTGGAATAGCCAGGATAATTTTTAATCTAACTCTGACTGGATTCGTTTGAAAGAAGAAAGTCACATACACCTAGGATGCCTCTGGGGTGAGTAAAACAGCCTAATTTTCATTTTTGGGTGAACTAACCCTTTAAACATTAAAACAACACACTTTTACCATGGCTGTCCTAACTAGTCCAATTTAGAGATGACATTACCTTGAAATGATGAGTATCACAATTTCCTAGTTGTTGCCAATAAATATAATAGCCATTTCAGAGTTAAAGGAATGAGAGAGAACACATTTCTAGTGAGGGTGAAGGCATTGTGACAACATTTTGACACCCGATGCAGTCAGTGTCCGAATTTTGGCTCACTCCTTGCCGACAGAGTGCACTCAGCTGCCATGCACTATATAGGGATTAGTGAATAAGTGAGCATTTTCAGACACAGCAATGGAGTCAAAAACGAGATCATGGATTTTCCCAAAATACTCCAAGCATATCAAGCATTTGTCCCAAATTATATCAGTGAAACCATTCTAGCAATAACAAAATGCAAAAACAAAACAAATGTTTTATACCCAAAGCAACAATACACTGGTAAAGTAGGCTGTGTCAACCAAGTATGCTTCTGTAAATGTACTAAAAATAGTAAGCAGTGCCACTCTATGCAACACATCAGGGAAATGGACTGACACTGCATGAAAGCAAACAAAATGATTGTGACTACTTGCACATATTAGTCAAGTTAGTAATATGAAAAACTTTTTAAAAACGTAACATTAAATCTTACATTAACAAATAATGTATGCATTATATAATGCGAGATATAATGTTAAAGTATTTTTTGCATGGTTGCTTATTACTAACTGCTCATTTATACATGTTAAAAATGTAATATTAATAATTCATATACATGCAAATGTTTAATGACATTTCAAACTACTTGACTGTACATTAACACATGATCTAAGCATTATACAATGTAGTCAAATAGTCTGAAATGTCAAACATATTTACATGTATATGAATTGTATATGAAAGTGATGTCAATAAATTGCTATATGAATTCAGGGTTAAACTTCTACTGATGTTGTGATGCGTGACGTCTTTAGGAAATCTTTGGGAAAAGAGGCCCATCTAATCAAAGGCAACATAAACGACAAAGATTCCCCTTCGTGTTTACATGATGCTTTTGCACTGGTACTTTTTTTTTTTTAAGACTTTCTGTTCAAGAGTAGAGTAGAATATGCTCTTTTGATTAAACTGTTTATGTTTCATCAGGTGTTACAGGAAAACTTTGAGCTTTGTATTTTTTCAATAAAAACCTCTTGATGCTTCATGAGATTTACTGTAGCTCATTTGCTAGTTAACAGTTCAACTTTGTTTGGGATCTTTCCCAGCATCCGCCCACAAACACTCCTTGTTCTCTTTCCAGCACGGCTCCCCAGACTCGTATATTTCCTGAAAAGAACAAAATAATTACAAACATGTTCCAAACAATTGTGCAATATAATATATGAAGAGAAATGTTTACACTTTGATGGCAATAATTAGTTACAAGTTATTATCAAAAAAATATTGTGGCTCCACAAACAGGGTAGACTGTAGTGTTTTATAACTTTATTATGTTTTACTTAAGTTAAATATACTAAAAGTATTAAAGGCACAAATAACTTTTTTATTTTTTGCTGTTAGAACTTTTTGATTACACAAAATTAACCTAACAAAAATAGCTGTTTTTTAAATGAGAAATGTTTGTTTTTTGAGTCTGTCCCACCTCAAAGATTTTGACCTTTTCAAATATCCAGTTATGACCACAAGTCACGATATCAAAGTCATGATTCTGACAACATGCAGAATTTATTTTCAAATCGTTGTATTATGAATAATAAGTTATTTCACTAATTCTAATGATTAAAATGCTTACCTGTATTTTTACGTGTAAATTGAGTAAGAGTAACATTTCGTGTTCTAGTATCACACATGATGGGAAGACAAACAAAACTCATCCATTTTATCATTATTTACAAAAATTGTAGTGTTGACTGCATTTATCAACTTTACCGTTCAACCCTGTTACCAAGTTGAAGAAAGGTGATTAATTCAATATCGTCCATAATTTATTGCAAATGTAAGTTTAACTAAAATTACCAAAAAAGTAGTTGTATTATCCAAGTCTATTTAGTGTTTATTCAGTGCTTCTTACTAGAAAGTAATAGAATCATACAAATTGGTTTTAAACTGTGGCACATTATGGACGAAATGTAAGAAGAAAATAAAACATCTAATTTGACGACCTGAGGTTGACATTTTTAAGCACCTGCTTTCAATGGTTTTTTTTTCTGTATTCATGAAATATCCTCTAGGGTTATACAGAAATCACACCTTCTTCCAGATTGGCACAGTTGCTTTGAGTGTGTCGATGCAGTACTTCACCGCCTCCAGGGAATCCCTTCTGTGCGGTGATGAGATCCCAATTACAACACTTGCTTCTGTTATAGGAACCACACTGTGGGCACGGTGGGAGAGAACAGAAAATATACTTTATGGCTTTCAAGTACTTAACTCTCATTATCTGAACAAACTGTGAGACTCACCCAAGTCTATGCTGTATGTTAATATGTCTGACGCTGGGCCACTTTGTCCGGATCTCATGGCAGATCTTCCTGAGCTCTGACTCTGCCATTGGACTGTACGCTTCATATTTAAGCCGGATCACTTTCTTCCCCTCAAAATTATCTCTGGTAGTCCCTAAAAAAGGAGATTACATTTCAAATTAATATGAAACTGTAAGAAAGCCAACTCTAAACAGAAGCAATGATGCAAGGAAATATAGCACAAAGACTGACCGATAAACAGAGATGCAGCACCACAAGAGGGACACGTGACAGATTCAGAAACACGATCAGCAGAAAGCCTGTCAGTAGTGAGTGTTATTAGATCCTGACCCCCATCTGCAGCCATACCTGAACAGAAACAAAACATAGTATTTAAAATATTTTTATATTTAATAAATATACTTGTTGTTATATATGTATAATGTATTATTATAATATCCATATAAAATACAGTAAAAAAGACAGACAGACAGGTAACAGATTTGATGGCCACCTTGGTCATTTCTTTAGCCTCCACTAAGGGGCGGTATAATGGCCACCTCGTCCCCGTCTCTGAGGGTCAAAGGCTGCTCTCCCAGAGGCACGTACTCCTGACGCACGGCCAGAACCACCTGATCCCGTAACACAGAGAGTCTGCCAAACAGGACACACATCTTCTGAATGAAACATGACTATATGTAACGAATAGAAATTAAAGTAAAAGTTAAGAATTGCTCAAGTCAAGGAATGCCCAAACCAGGGCCCAGGGGCCAAAGACCTTTGATTTGACCTGTGGGCCCTGGTTTGGGCACTTATGGACCATGCTGTATCACAAGAGGAAAGAGAAAACAATGTGTGTGTGGGGGGGGGGACACTAAAGCATATCTGATTATGCTTTTATGCTGATTATAATATACATGAATCTGATTGAAAAATATATATATATATTTTTTTTATATATATCAGTTTAATTATTTATTTATTACATTTAATATAATATACAGGGCTGCCCAAACTCGGTCTTGGAGGGCCGGTGTCCTGCAGAATTTAGCTCCAACTTGCCTCAACACACCTGCCTGGAAGTTTCTAGTATGCCTATAAGAGCTTGATTAGCTGCTTCAGGTGTGTCTAATTGGGGTTGGATCTAAACTCTGCAGGACACCGGCCCTCCAGGACCGAGTTTGGGCACCCCTGTAATATACCTTTAGCCCATGCCCCTCAATCAAGCTTGATTTTTCATCCTTTGTATTAAAAATTTTTGGCCACCTCTGTTCTAGTATATTGGAAAATAACGTTGTTGTTAAAAGTTGTAATTTGTAGATCATTTGTTATTCTTAGCATTATTTATATGCTTTAGAGCAGGGTTCCTCAAATCTTACCCTGGAGGTCCAATGCGCTGCAGAGTTTAGCTCCAACCCTGATCAAACTCAGCTACCTGTGATTTTCTAATGATCCTGAAGACATTGATTAGCATGCTCAGGTGTGTTCGATTAGGGTTAGAGCTAAACTCTGCAGGAAAGTGGATCTCGTGGGCCAGATTTGAGGATCCCTGCTTTAGAGCGTGCATAGAGCAATGCATTTCACATAAAAGGCTTCAAATCTGGGCAAAGAATCAATTGTTCTTATGTATGAAATATTTACACTGTAAATAGTACCCAGTGTTATTACATGAAACATATCTTTAAACGACATGAATAAGTTACAGTTTATAAAATATGCCATAAACATTATCTTTCCAATGAACTTGATAAAACATAAAATTATATAAAACATGAACATTTTCATTAAAATATATTACATCATATAAATTAGAACAAAAATGTGTATTAATAAATTATTTATACTACTACTACAATTAGTATTTTTACGTCAAAATGTGACATTTCTTATATGTAAATAAATAAAAACACTGGTGGACTGAGTGGCAGTATAAATCTAGTTGATGACTTGCAGTGTAAGTACCATTGATCTGAACGTCCGACAAAAGTATTAATGTCACGTTAATTAAAATACTCACTGACCTGGGATGTCTGCTCTCCAGATCGTGCCACAGCTGTAGAGAGGATATGTTTGACAGGACAGTGATGCTCTCTGCTTTGAGTCCCGTTAATTCGGCACTTTTTGCAAAGTACAGGACCGACACCTGCTTAACGTGCAGACATTTATTAGAATAATATGGTCCGTTTGCAACTGAAACGTTACCAAAACATTCAAGTTCACTGAATGCAATGAATTCATGATTACGTTACATGTGATTCGTTGTGCATTTTCGCCTTGCAGGTGGTTGATCAGAGGATATAACTTATATCAGGATATAAACGATATCAAAAGCAGACTTACCTCGGTATTCATGTGTATCTATTGGTTGCACACATGCAAACTTCAACCCCTCGTCGCGTGCGTCACTTCGTCTTCCTGGGAGCTCAAATCCAGTTGGGTTTGCTTCAGGTCACCTGACTCACGGAGACCGTCACACGACGCTCTGTTTATAACTCAATCCACCTCGTGACCGTTTAAAATTACATCTTATAAATTCCTACTTCTTCTCTTCTGTTAAGTCTCCATTGAGCTTTTATCATTAAAACCAGCGATATAATTGAACCCTTCCTGAAATGAGCTGTGCATTCCCACCCTTCCCCAACAGATGTCTCCTAATTCACATATCAAACCGAGCCATTCAGCAACCTCACAGCTAATATATCCCCAGATATAAGGTATAAAACACTTTCTTCGTGGTGGTTACTATATTTGGAGACTCATGTAAGGCCTCATGCGCATATATAACCATTAAAGCTATCAGTATACAAGAAAAAAATGAAAGACAATAGATCAAAAGCTCATTTCGCCTTTATTAAACAGCCGATGGCTGTTTTTGTTCAGTAAGACAGTTCTGTGTGGCATTCGATCAATCCAGTGACATCTGCAACCACAGACCACAGCTGTGCAACGTATGGCCCCGTTTCACAGTCATTGTTATTAACAACGTGTGGTAGGAGACACTTGCAGAGTCCTGCATTTCTCCCAATTTTCCGACAGGGACAAGAGGGCAACGGCGTCCACCTCAGTTATGTCTGGCAAGCCGATTAATCATTTATTTCTTAAAACTAGTATCTATTTTATGTTACCTACCGGTAGGCCTACTACTTTGTTTTTAACTGCTACTAGACTAATTAATCTGACAGTGAGTATACTATGTATATGTAAAACAAATGTAAATTGAGATAAGAAATGTTACTGGCAGATACTGTAAGCATAACTAAAAATAACAGCTAAAACCAGCCTTAGCTGGTTAGCTAGTTTTAGGTCAGGCTGGTTTTAGAGGGGTTTTGACCACTTCTTTAGCTGGCCAGCTAAAACCAGCTACTTCCGGCTTAAACCAGCTAAGACCAGCCTGCTTTTTTAACTGCTTTTTCAGCAGGGATGTAAACTAGTACATAATAAATGGTAACTAGTAAAACTAGAACAGACCTTAGTCAGGGTAGCACCATGCTAATTTTTGATAGGAATAAAATCGAGGCTGTGAGGTTAAATAGAGTGCATTAAATTGACTGTACTGTTGTTTAACAACATGCTGATTGTTCAGCTGATTAAATGTCTTTCAGTAGACAAGTAGACCATAAAACAGTCAACCTATCATCACTCACAGTAAAAATCAATAGCTGCGTCCCAAATGACGCAATATACACTATGCACGTATAATACACTATGTATTTATGCAGTATGTACTCAACCATGTAGTGTATGAATTACTTAAGGTTATTTTGTCATTCATAATCAGAGTCTGATAGCCCCTCCCCCTACGCTACGTAATTACAGCTGCAACAGTTGAGTGCATGACGTGCCCAATATTCCACACTTCATTTTTTTTGGTTATTTAAGTGTATCATATGGGTATTTAAAGTGCACTTTTTCTTTTTGGGAATTTTCAGTGTGAACGCTCTACTCGCACTGTTTATCCAACAAAACAGCATAGAATAGTGCACAAATACGCAATTTGGGATGCACCTAATGAGTTTTCCAAGATGCTCTGGTTGTAAGAAATGGATTAACACGCTACGTAATTACAGCTGCAACAGTTGAGTGCATGACGTGCCCAATATTCCACACTTCATTTTTTTGGTTATTTAAGTGTATCATATGGGTATTTAAAGTGCACTTTTTCTTTTTGGGAATTTTCAGTGTGAACGCTCTACTCGCACTGTTTATCCAACAAAACAGCATAGAATAGTGCACAAATACGCAATTTGGGATGCACCTAATGAGTTTTCCAAGATGCTCTGGTTGTAAGAAATGGATTAACCTTTAACAGGTGAGAATGTGTTGGTTTGTGTTTTTATATGTATAAACTTAATATTACAGGCTTTTAGGGGGTTTTGGCTATCAAAATTGCTCCAAAATTACATTTTGGCCGGTCCTCCTCAGTCCAAATCTCATTCCCGGGGGGCAGGGTGGTTCGCTTCAACCCGCGGAGTAAAAAAACAACCGGTGGCAACCATAGACTGTAAAAAAACATGGACGTAGTGTCTGTGACGTCACCCGTAGGTTTCTAAAGAGCATTTTTAAGCCTAAAGTGGGCGGAGACGGCCATCGCCATCTTGGCAGCGCGTCATCGCGCAGCACTCTCGGATAATCGAAAATGGGCAAAGAGGTGGGACATGGGTGGAGCTGGTTGTTAAAACCACACCCGTCTAGCTCGACGGTGGTGACAGCAGCGGCAATCCACCTGTCACTCAAGTGGCCATGCCCTTAATTATGCAGAACTTTAAGACTTAAAGGGGTGGTTCACTGGGTTTTTTCTAGGCTTGATTGTGTTTATGGGGTGCAGTCTAACATGTGTTAATGCTTTGTTTAAAAAAAAAAACGCATTATTTTTCACATAATTTACCTTTATTCCAAACAGCTCTTTCCCGTCTCTGAGAAACGGGCTGATCTTTTCCTGTTTTTATGAAGCCCCGCCCTCAGAAATAGGCCATGGGCTCTGATTGGTTAGCTAGCCCAGTGTGTTGTGATTGGCTAAACCGCCTCTAGAGCGCGTCTAAACGTCTGTTTTCTCATACTTTTAGATATGCTGTTGTAAATGCTACTGCTTATGTTAGCTTTTAATATACAGTTTTATCCTGATTAAAGCTTTAATACAGTACAGCAACCGCATGCACGTTCATGATAACGCTTCTCATAGCTAAGTGAAAATAAGTGTATAATTGGAACAGTTAATTGTTGGAGCTGAGCTGAATGAGAGAGAGAGAGAGAGAGAGAGATGCAGAGCGTGTGAAGAGCAGGGGGACGCGAGGAACAGTATTCTAAACCGCTGCTTTTTAACACTGATTTTGAAACTTGTGAATCCATTAGAATCGTTAGAAGACAGAATCGCGATTCATATATAAACAGATTTTTTCGTGCACCTCTAGTTTTCTCTTCCTCTTCTCTAAAGCAGCGCAGCATGGCCTCGCCCCCTTTGCTGCCTTTTCCCGAGGGCAGGGTTTATCTGGGTTTGTCATGAACCCGGGAAGTAACTTGTTGTAGTCCCTACCAGCCATTTTTGTAGGCATTAAACTGCCAGAATTTTAAAAGACGATATCTCCGTTTGCATTGAACT